TAAACAACTGCACTAATTATGCAATATATAAACCAATGTATTGGCAATTTGACATTGATTGACTATTGATTTATAGGCTATATTGAATTTAAAATGATGATCAGATGGACATTCTGGTCAATATGAATGCAAATCCCTCAGTAAATAACCATAAATCAAGATTTGCTTTAACATGCATAAAAAAAATAAATAAATAAATAAAAATCATAGGCTACTGATTCCGAAAATACCCTGGCTGTAGAGAGAACCAAAGTTAATCCCAAAAGCCAAAGTTCAGGGTTGTACTTTATTATTTTCTTCTTGTTTATGTTTACGTTAATATTCACTTGTTATCTTAACATTCTATAAAAATGCTTTATTCAGTAAATATTGTTTGTTTGAACCTCATTCTGTTCTATATTGTTGTACTTATTCTTTGACTGTTTTGTTTAAAGGAGGGAGGATTGTATTGGGCGGTATTGAGTGGCAATGGCAAATGGTTTACATGGCTCACGGCATCACAGATCAGGTAGAGGGCCCCTTAGCAGAATTTTGCTTAGGGCCCCAGGGGGAGGTCAGGATTGGCAAAAAAAAATAATTGTATTTTTTCCCAAAATCTAAGCGTTTTTTATTTTTTCGAGTTTTTTCCATTCAATCCAGATTATTTCTTTTCAAATAAATAAATAATAATTAAAAAAAATAAAAAAAATAAACAACAATATGAAGAACTCTTTTGCTCATTTGTCTCATCTCTGACATTTTGCAATCTTTATAAATAATTATAAGACCATAAGATGAGGCATTGCGTTTGGACAAACACGGCCAGATAAGGCAATTTGGAAGGGGACAAATTCAACTGAATATATTCCTTCATATAGCCCGTGAGTGGGGAGGAGGGGGGGGGGGGGTGCCCTTTTTTCAGGTCAGAGCAACTGCCCCTCAAAATTCCTGTGCACGTCCCTGCACTTTACACATTTTAACTTATTTGGTATTATGTGAAAACCATTACACATTTTTTATTATTTTGTATTATTTAAATTATGTAAAAACCATTACACATTTTAACTAATTTGGTATTTTAATTCATTAATTCATTTCCATAAATCATTAATTCATATAACCAGGCTGGTAAATTTGTCACGGGCACTTTTCCAGTCCGTTTTCACCTGATTCTGTCTTTCCCATTGCGATTGCAACCTCTCTCCAGGCATTTTCCAACGCAATTTTATTTGAGTGTACTAATTGTGATGAACTGTCGTATAAATGCGGATGATATTAAATGCTGGTATAAGCTCATATAATTATTCCTCCTCGCACGCCATTGTACTCAAACCTTCTTCTTCTGTTAACATGATATATTTGAATTAATGTACAATTCTTGCAATGTCGCCCCACCGATAACGCATAGTATTGCGTGCATCAGTGCGTCGCGTATCAAAAACTAGGACGACACATTTGGCTATGCATCGACGCATAATGGCGGCCAAAGCGTAGCGATGCATAGCCATGCGGACGCGTATGCGTACCGATGCGTTGACTATGTAACGGCCATTAATTCACGTGCTGATGCGCTGTTCTAACGTGCGCTTTCCTGACCGCATAAATTACCCCCGACGCTCACAGTCTGTCAAACAGCGCCTGAATACTGGACTAAGTTATCTCTCGAGTCTTATTATGCGAATACTGTTAAATACACACAATGTTTACATAAACAGGCTATGTCTAAAGTTGAAAGCAAACATTTGAGAGAATATCTGGTGTAATATGCGTCTATATTAAATGCATCGCGTGCTGGTCTAAAAGCAACAGGAATAAATAGTACTGCCGCTTGTCCTTAAAGGGATAGTTCAAAAAAAAAAACGTCATTATTTACTCACTCTAATGTTGTTCCAAACCTGTATTAATTTCTTTCTTGTGCTGAACACAAAAGACCATTTTTTTTGAATGTGGGTAACCAAACAGTTGCTGGTCCCCATTAACTTCCAGGAGAGAACCTATAAAAAAAAAAACTATAAGGGGACCAGCAACTGTTCGGCTACCCACATTATTCAAAATAACTTTTATTTTCAACAGAAGAAAGAAACTTATTCGGGTTTAAAACATCTTGAGAGAGTAAATTAAGACAATTTTCATTTTTGAGGGAACTATCCCTTTAGTGTTAATAAAACAAAACAAAAAAACACAAGGAGAAAATCACTCACTGACTGAGAACTTTAATAGTAGCTTTAATAAGAATCAATATTTTATACAGTGAAGTCTATGTAGTGTTTTAATTGTATATTTGTTCATTTAATTACTTTCTTCAATGCTACTGCTAAATACACCTACTGCATCTGAAAAAATAAAGCACTATTTATTTAATTTGAATATTAATTTGTGTAATGTTTATCTTGTCTTATTTTTTTAATAACAAAGAAAATAATGACAAAGATTTTTATCTTCGCCACTGGCCTAAATGTATGCCTTTCTTTTTTCTTTTGTTACCTAAGGCTTTGTTTTTAACATAGGGACATTAGTTTGGCTGTAATGAACAGCCACTTGCAAAATATTAAAACCAACTTGAAAAAGAATTGTGATAAAAAATCGTGATCGTGATTTTCCTAAAAAAATCGTGATATGATATTTTTTCCATATCGCCCACCCCTAACTCATAGACAACAACGGTTTGACTGAAAAATGTCAAAATTGAAAATACAGTGGAAACAAAGACACCTACATCTTGGACGCCCTTGAGGTAAGCTAAAACATATCAAAAATTAATTTCAAAGTGAACTATCCCTTTAATGCTGATTCTTAATCTACTTTCTTAATTTGTAACTGTATTGTATTCTATGTGTTATTTATTTTGTATGCCTGTATTTACACCAACTGCATTTGCAATTTTACTTTCTCTTTGTATTGATTATTTTGTCCTGTTCAGCACTTTGGTCAACCATGGGTTGTTTTTAAATGTGCTCTACAAATAAATAATAAATGAATGAATGGTACTTTTGTTCTATCTTGTCATTTGTTTGTCATTATTTAATTTGAGAAGCATTATTTTGCTTTGCTTCAGCTACGGTAAAGAGAAATTTACTCTTACATTGCATGTTTGTGGCTTTTGGAGGCTGGAACAATGAAGGGAGGCTGAGGGCGTATTTGTTTGGGGTAAATTTCAAATATTAACACTAGGGATGAGCGAGTACAGCATTATCTGTATCTGTATCTGTATCTGTTAACCATATGAATTATCTGTATCTGTATCTGTACTCGGACTGGGCGGGGCCTAAACCCGGAAGTGGGCCGGGTAGTCTTGAAATGGGCGGGGCTTTAACCGGTATGTTATTTTAAGCATGCAATTGATATGGGTTGATCTGAAATTGCTATATTTATTGCTGATAAGAAATAAAACTATTTACATGACAGCATCAGCATTGAGCTTCAGATCAAGTTTTGCAACAATGAATACAACACATGTGGCTGCAATTATGAAGTAAAATGTAATGAACAAGAGTTTTCATCTCAACTACGGCTGGGTGATATGGACCAAAAGTCATATCCCGATATATATTTAGGCTGAATTTCGATATACAAAATATATCCCAATATTTTTTCTGCAAAGTGAGAGCAAATGTTCAGTCAAAGCCAAATATGACATGTCACAAGTAGTTTTATTGAAACTTGAACATTTGCTAAATCAAATGAATAAATAATAAACAGGTTTCTTCACCTTAGGGCTGCATGATTAGCTATGACAAAAATCTTAATTGCAGATTATTCCCTTGGAATTGTAATTGTGATTTATTAATTGGTTTATTTATTTTGTTAATACAACGTTGGTATGAGCCATTACAGTCATTTAAAAAAATATAAAAAATAACACAAAGAAAAATATGGGTATTAAGGGGTTAATATAGAAACGACAGTTACCATAGTGAATAGTGAATACACAATACTAACAAGAACTGTTTATGAAACATGGAAACTGCTCCTGGTGAATAGAATGAAAATCATAACTGCATTGCTTTTATTTCGTGTAATTTACAACGTAACGGTGTTGCATGCTCGTATAGTTTCTTTTGCACTTTATATACAGTGAGGCGGTCCAGCGCGCGCCGCCGCATTTGCGCGTGCAATTGAGTGTGCGCTACGTCTAACGTTACAGTATAACGGCTGACAGGACAGAAAGTCCGTTTTGCTGAGGTGAAAGACTTTATTTCATAACATAACATGCTTTAATCAAGCACGCAAAGTGGAAAAGGAGTGGCTAGGGGGGAGCAGTGCAGAGAGCTCGGGTTCAGCACTCAGCAGCTTGCTTGGAGCAAGGATCACAGCGCAAACCTGAACTAAGCCTATATCGATATGAAATATGGTCTAATTACATATCACATTTAAAAATATATATATTCTTTATATTGATATATCGCTCAGCCTTAATCTCAACATAACTTTTTTTTTTTTTTTTTTTATCCGAGCACAGATATTGACTCGTATTACTCGTATAATATTCGTACTTGACAAAAGTGCTTTATCCGTACCGGATACTCGTTTCAGCCGAGTATTCGGCTCAACTCTAATTAACACAGTGTTTCTCTGAAATCACTTACTGCACTTTAAAGTGAAGGCCTGTTTGTTTCAGAGACTGTGAAGTTAACTATTTTTGAGTTTCTATATTACTTTTTCCATGTTTTGACCCTAAAACATTGCACACATGGCAACAGTTGTATCTCACTTTTGTTGCACAATCATCCCGTTAACATCTTCAAGTACTTAACGAGTAATAGCTGAATTTGTAAACTTTCAGAGGGGGGTGTACTCCTTTAGTACTATGTATTTTTTTTGGCAGATTGAAACCCAGGTCTCTACATAATTTCACTGTATAGAAACAATCAGCTTGAATATTATGCTAAACATCTCTTTTTGTGTTCAACAGAAACAACAACAAATAATGTTTGAGGAAAAAAAATAGAGTAATTGATGACAGAATACAATTTTTTGGGTGAAATAGGATTTTAATCAGTTTCAAAATAAACTGTACTCACGTGCTTGGCTCCCTGCACTTCCACTTGCTGTCATGGTGATCATAGATGAAGAGAACAGGTACAAAACACTCCATAGTGAATCTGCTGTTGTCCAACTAATGGTGAAAAACAATGTACAGTAGTTTTACTATCTGTATATTGGACATGGTTGTAATATGCAATAAGTAAAATTACCATGATCATTGCAGCCTCGCTGAAGTTTTCTGAGATCCTGGCAGCAACCTTCTCAGCAACCTGGTTTGGTCTGAAACGGTTGTAAAGACCACAGATGTAAACGATGAAACAAATGTTAAGGATAAAACAGATGTAAAGACAACATGTAAATCATGCAAAGGACATGAAGAAAACACATTTTACCTGGCTTCCTTTAAACGCTCATTTGCTTGATAATAGCCAGCTATGACATACTTGTTCTCTTTGCACCATGTATCAATCTGAGGAAAGAAATACATTAGATCTATTAAGTTAATCTGAATTAAACTAAGTGAAGGGACAGCCCTCTTGCCCTGCTAAAAAGATCAGTGGTTTAGGTTGACCTAGCTGGTGGGCCACCATAACTATGCTATTCCCCAGTAAAATTTCAAGGTTGGATCCAGGTATTTTGTCGACAAAGATGTGGGAGCCTCAGCATACCAACCCAACATACACTGGTGACAAGCTTCTTGAAGTGCTGAGAATGTGATGCACTTTTTAAAGGGGAAATGAAGCAGTGAATTAAGTTTACATGATTTACTAGATGGATTTCCAATATAAATCAACAATTATATAAGAAACATTACAAATGTAAACATTTAGAAGAAAAAAAGAAAAAACGTGCAGGTGACGTAACGGGGTTGGTTGGCTCAAGTTTAACAGGCTCTGGGCATTGAAAATCGCGACATCAATCTGTGTTTATACCAGTGTTTTGACCGCGAACGACTAATGTTAGGTACAGTCATTAGACAAAAAGACGACGTCTCATGTTATATGTTGACAAACTGCACATAGAAACATTGTTCGCGATGTCTGCCGTCAGATATTCCCGTCTCGTCAACAACATGCAAGTTACGTTGCTCTGTAGAACAGCCGGTGGTGGTTTGGGGCGAAGAGCGGGTTTGCAACGCTAACTTACCAGGTGTCAGTGTGGCTGTTGTACTGCGATGCCCTCCGTGTCGAATTTGGGTCTGTCTGCGGACTTGTCCGTGTCAGAGTGAGTCCATCTGCTGTCAAGAGGTTGATCTTGAGCATGTATTGCGTGGTCAATTCTGCATCACCGACGCGCACGTTTACCATGCTGTGCCGGGAGTTAGACGTGTGGAAGCGGCGATGCTTTCCCTGAAGGATGTCAGAGCGGAGACACTTTTTCCTAGTATGTAGGCTGTAGCTACTAGCACTACCAGTGCGAAAATATGGACGTTTCATTTCCCCTTTACAAATACATGCTAACTTACATGTTGTTGACGAGACGGGAATATCTGACGGCAGACATCGCGAACAATGTTTCTATGTGCAGTTTGTCAACATATAACATGAGACGTCGTCTTTTTGTCTAATAACTGTACCTAACATTAGTCGTTCGCGGTCAAAACACTGGTATAAACACAGTTTGATGTCGCGACTTTCAATGCCCAGAGCCTGTTAAACTTGAGCCAACCAACCCCGTTACGTCACCTGCACAATGGCGGCGCCCTGGCGGCGAAAGATACAACGTTTTTTCTTTTTTTCTTCTAAATGTTTACATTTGTCATGTTTCTTATATAATTGTTGATTATATTGGAAATCCATCTTGTAAATCATGTAAACTTGATTCACTGCTTCATTTCCCCTTTAAAGCCTTGTTTCTACTTTCACCTGGCTCCACATCGCGAGCGTCCACTGACTGCACGTGCTCAGAAACAAATGAGGACATGCTTGCCATTGTACAATTCTTTTAAACGACGCAGTCCGGTCGGTTTGTCTAGTCCGGTTTGTCTATGGACAAAAGCGAAGCCAACTGCGCGAGAGAAACCGAGCGTCTCACTGCGCGCGACAGACCGATGCTGCGTCCCATTTTGCATACTATCCTATGAAGGTAAAATAAAAGAGTACATAAGATTGCAAGCATAAAATAAATTTGCATGCGCAAAGGAAGATTTGTAAAGGTGTAAATCGCCCTTCAAGTGTAAGAAAAAAATATTTGCAGCATTTAACTGTTATTATTCGTAAGTGTAATTCATGTATTTTGAAGCTGCAGCTTCATGCTAACACAAAATAAATAAGATCTGTATTCTTCAGACTTTCATTTTTCCGCGCGTACACTTTTTGCACAAATGCAGCCAAAAGTATTGCAAGCCTGTGAACAGCAATCTGCAAGCGAAAACAACAGAGGGAGGAACTGCAAAACAGATATATGGTGTATAATCAAACTTTGTGTAAAAAAATAAACTGTTGCAAATATCTGAATGACTTGTGTGCATGGGGCAAAAAGGTTTTCCGAAATAACCCAATCTGTACCGAAATAACCCGATCTCTACCTCTTTTACCTGTGCTTCCAGTATTGGCACGATTCTCTCAAACTGAGTTTCACAAGTGCAAAGAGGAGGCCAGGTCCACCATCATGTAGTCAATCAGATGAGCTTCTCACTGACAGTCATTTTACTCTGATCTGACTGGTGCAATAAACACGCCAGTCACCAGGGGCCCATTCTTCGTACATTGCTTAAAACATCCGAGATCAAATTAGACATCCAAAATAATATCATCGTGCTCATCATGATCCGGCTAATTGTGTTCTTCGAACACTCCTGCCGGTTATGATTAGTATAGCTGGATTGAGTCATCTGAGATAACTGCGCGTTGGTTTAAAAGGAGACATGTATCGATAGCAGAAACAGTGATCAGCAACGCTGCTATTGGCTGTTCAGCATGGCCAAAGAACACGCCCAGTTTTTCTCCCAAGCAGAGCAAGCGCTTTTAATGGAAGGTTATGCTGAATTTCAGTCTTTAATTAAAACGCCAGGGAACACCTCAAAGTATGCAAAAGCCAGCAGAGACTGCTGGCAAAAGTAGAAGACAAATTAAATGCGTTTGTGGTGGCCATGTTAGATGTTTTAATAACTTATTATTATTATTATTATTTTATTTGTATAATTTCATAATTACTTTTGTTCATTGTAATGTCCACACTATAATAATGGACATGGTGAAATTGAAGTACAATTTAATTGATGGCTTTAATTGATTTATACTTGCCTATGCCTATTATTTCTGACAGTAGTCCACATGTACATAAAGGCCTACAGAAGAGTCTGCACACAGCAGTGATACAGGGGTGGGCAGTGTAGAGACAACTTTTCCCTATTTATTTGTTGCATTAGGCATGTGTGACACAAACGACAAAAAGTGAAATTCGTTCTCTAAATGAGTCTTCAACAGAAAATAAGGTATTTTGAAAAAACTAAAATCAGGGGGAGAAATAGAACTTGACTAAGAAAAAATTGCACTAAATAGAGTTGCTTCAAAATAAAATTCAGAATAAAATACACTATTTCACACAGAGTACTATTGCTGACCTTGCATAATATCTCTTTTAAAAAAGATGACTGAATAACTGGCTTTTCTTTACAAAGAACTATTGAAATAAAAGTCTAAGCAAATAGAGTTTTGCAAATTTGTCTTGTCTTCAATTTTAGGCTTAATTAAACATTTTTTTTTCTGATGTTGGCAATGTTGTGTAATATAGCACATGCAATGTCACAGGCCCTGTCAGGTGCAACCCTCAGGCTTTTCAGACCCTGAAATCTTCCCTTTAGTTGGCCAAAGCTCATTTCATTGTGTGCCCTTGTCCTAGAGCTGCATTGTAACTGGTCTGGGGTTTGGGTCAGGGAATGGGGTCATAAAACACCTGTCTCCATGCAGTATCCTGTTGTAATCACCTGTATAATGGAGAAATGCAGTTCTCAGCATAAGTGTATATAATACTGTGAGTTTGATATTTGTAATTTTCCTAACCACGTTCAAATAATGTGCATAAATAGACAAGCTTTGACTTACAGCAAATCTATTTCCTTACTGTGTAAACAAATAGAAGATGTGTAAAGTAAAGAGCGGAGTTCCATGAGAAAATTAGCAAATGCCAAAACACATTTGGGTTTTACTGAATGCAACCAAGTTCTTAAAAATCATAAAGTATAGGCGCCTCCTTTTAACCCATTAAAACGTGCATGATTCATGTAAAAAAATACAGACATCCTTCAGGTACTGTTGGATTGTTCTGACACGCTCTGGTTCCCATGACAACAACTTGTCACAGGAAGTGTTAACTCGTAATGTCACTTTTGTAAACAATCCAGCCTGGGTGGCTAAGCTAACCTAGCCTAGCATCAAGCTAACGTAGACTAAGCTAAATTAACCTAGCACCAAGCTAACTTAGGCTAAGCTAACCTAGCCAGCCTAGCATCAAGCTAACTTAACCTAACCTAGCTCCCATCCCGTGTAGGCTAAGCTGAATAACCTCCACAGTTAGCAGTTAGGATCATTTACTTGAACCCTTAATCACCGCTTGTTTTCCCCAGTGCAAAGTATTCTAGAATACTTTCCTCAACACCAGTTAGGATTTCTAATTATTCACTTTCCGTGTTTACAATTCTTATTAGCTAAAGTTAACCTTCACTGGGTTAGGAATACTCCTTCCTAACCGTTGAAGACTTAACTTCGCAGATGCCATGTTAATTAAACTTAAGTTTAACTACATGTAAACTGCGTAACTAACTACAGAAGAATTCGTATAACCATAGGAATTTTCATCGGTATGTTGACTAAACCTTTGGACGGACACACACCATGTGGTTTTGAACACGCAACCGCTACAACCCACTATAGAGTGTTGATCAAAGCAAATCCAAAGTTTAGTCACTAATGTCACTGATTATTCTCGACTTCAGATCATTTCCGTGTTTTGATCACTTATTTCCTTTTGCTTTAATTTTTAATTTTTATTTTTCCTCGTTAATTATTTCATTCCTTTGACCTTGATAATAATAGCAAGCAGCTATTCCCTTGTCTATTAGGTCATCTATATGATTTAATTTCCTCTCTTGTCCAAGTGTGGTTCCATTTCCCATAGGGCCCAGAAAGGAAACAGACACCCTTATTTGTTATTTTGGCTTAGTTTCAACCAGTGCACTCATTTTTTGACCCTGCAACACAAGTAAATTTCAACATTTTACTAGGGCACTACTAGAGTCCTGAGGATCGATAATAAGCAGAATTTAAATAAGAAAGCTGTCCTTTTCCCCATTATGGTTCACTTCGTCGAGCCATAGTGAACCACGAGCTAAGTTCAGAGAAATAAGTTAGTCATAAGAACCACCTTACGTCATTTATTTCATCTCGGCTATGTCCTTTTCAGGAAATATTCTCGGAACCACACAAGGCTTAGCCCTAACATTCACAGCTAAGATAAGGACACAAGAGA